CTACATAAGTTGCTCTGGATAAGAACCTCTGCTAAATGGCAGTCATGTAATGTAACTGGAAAATACAATTATTATGTAATATATACATTTACCATAATAATAATTAGTGAAAACTATGCAATTTACATCAAAGATCAATGTGGATAATCAATGTATTTTCAGTCAGGACATCTAAGTCATGCATACTTTGAGTTGGGCACACTTTACCGAAACTGTGGTATAGATTCAGCTACAGCTCTACTATATGACAAACAGATTCCATGTTTTACTTGTGTGTCCGCTGGCTAGGGCAGGGGTGTGCGGTTAGGCTAGGGGAGTATACCTGCATGAAGACCCCAGAGGAAGTCTGGGCAGGAAACAGCCTTCCTTCATATCTCAGCATTTATTGATCAAAACCTTGTAAATAATTTACCAACAGGCAGAATAAGCCTGGGGGGACCGGGCACCTCGGAGATCCAGTTTGAAAGGAAATAACTGGACGTTGTTTTCCTCCAGCGGCCGGAATCTATTGATCCTTTTGAATGCTCTGTATGTATTTGGCTCTTTCCAGAAGCTTTGATGTACGGCAGTGACCTCTTTCTCCGCTGTGTATTGTCCACATTGTTAGTACGGGACTAAAGGAGAGTTGAGGCCTACGGGGAATTGGGGGGGGGGTAATGCAGCCTTCATGGGAAAAAGGCTTGATCCTACAATACGTTAGTCCATATTAGGAGCTTGGAAAAGGGGATTATGCTATACATGGACCAAATCCTATGGAATTAGGTGCTATGCCTGTAACCGTATCTTGTTATGGAATGTGCATGCTTTCGAATCGCATTTAAATAACACAATGCAAATGCTGGCATAGATCTGCTTAATGACACAACATGGGAGCACGCACATATGTTCTCTGGTACCTTACAGTAGTGAGAAATTGTTCTCGGGAGTCTTGGAGGAAACATTAAATGTCTCTTGCCTTATCATCTTACACTTGGAATTCAGGTATTTTGACAATTTCTCTCCTTTATTTGGTCTTGCGAGAGCACACAGGAACGAGTGAAATCAACGGTCTTCTTGTCTTTGGCAGCAGTGATGCCACGCAGATACCTATTTTTTCTCCCCCCTCCACCAGTGCAGCTCCACCTGCTCGGAAGCCTGTGGGCACACAGAGACTTGTTTCGCTCCACAGCTGCTCATCTGGGGGTTTTCGTGGTGGCAACTGACAGCCTCCTTAGCGTGCGAAGCCAACGAATGTGGCCAAACCCCTCCCTCCCTTTATTCGACATTGCTGAAACAAACAAACGAAAAAAGAGACTGTTAGACTTGATCCGTGTGCTTGTGGACCCCAGCACAGAGCTCTCGGGAGACGTGGTGGAGGCAGGAGCAGGTCAGACGCACTTAGAGTCGGGGAGGTGAGAGAGGCCGGCAGCTGCTTTGCCTGGGAGCCAGACCGCTGAAGCGAATCGTCCTCCGGGTTGCCCCTCCATCGCAGCTTGTGCTAGCAGCAAATCTGCGTTCCTTCTCGGCTGCGGCCTTGGTTTTAATGAGGCCCCACTCGTTACACCCTGACCTGGGGGGACCCCAGAAATGGGGTGGCTGGGGGTGTAATGCAGGCAAGCTCCTCGTTACTTTCCCTTCCCAGAATTCCTGTCTGCGCCCCATGCGACCCCAATTCCTCTCATGCCTACTTCCCCCGGATAAGCAGTCCAGGGAAAGCATTGAAACGCACTGTGTTTGGGTTTTTTGGCAAAGGCTTGATTCCCATTTGAACTTAAATCGTTCGCCATCATTGTGTTTAATATCGGTGGCAGGGGCCACAGCTGTGGTCTGCACGTTGAGAAAGAGGAGCAGCTGTCTCTCGCAGCGTTCCCCCAGAGGGCCAGAGTGTTTACTGCATGTCCTGTGTCTCTCGGGGTAAATCTGCATGAAATGCTACACGCACACACCCACACACGCACGCACACACGCATGCACACACCCACACATATATATGCGCGCGCGCACACGCGACTGCTTTCATTCCCAGACCCTTCCACAGTGATCAGCTGACCTGGCCGCAGCCGCCAGCCCAGGGAGTCAGACGCTAAACCGCAGCGCTGCTAACTGCAGCCCACATCACACATCACAGAGGCTGCAGGTACGTTCACGCAGTACCTGCTGGAAATGCACCATCTTCCCCCATCCCCCCCCCCACACACACACACACACACACACGTGCAGCACTGGTGTGCCATCACAGGAGGGCGAACTGCCAGGCGTGTTTCCTGCATCTGTGACAATTCTATCACACCTACCACCTACCCCCGCCCAGCAACTGAGCATTCAGCACAGTGCACTCCCTTCAAGAGACACATGTCTGCACGTGTAACATGCATCAGCTGTGTGGGTGATTTGTTACACGTTACATTCTGGGGGAGACAGCGAATCCCGGCCGCGAAGGTAAGCTCGGTAAAACACGCCCCTGATCGCATGCAGCAGGATGTAAGGACGAGCTGCACTGCTGCAGCTAGGACAGCTGTGCAAATGGCTGTCAGAGAGGAAAGAGCAGCCCTCTGTCTCTCTCTCTCCCTCTCTCTGGGGTAAGGAATGTGCTGTGCGCACTAGTAGCTCTGGCTTAGCAGCGATAGCCCTTGCTACCCCTCCCAGGGCTGCGCATGGAACTGCCCTCTATTGTCTGATTTCAGCGAGGGGGCTGTCACTGTGTGTGTGTGTGTGTGTGGCATCCCTCCCCCTCCACACATACACACACACACACACACACACACACAGCAGACATTCTCAGCCTCTCACTGAGGGCTGGCCAGCCCTGCCATCCTCTCCCTCTCTCCCTCTCTCCGCTGTCACAGTTGGAGGGAGGCCCTGGGTTTGGCTGTGTTGTTCTCTCCTCCCCTCCCCTCCCTTTCCTCCCCCCTCCCAATCAGAGCGCAGCGTGGGGTGTGGGGGGGGGCGCTGCTGCAGGATCGCAAGGCAGAGCATCTGTGTGCTGCAGTTCAGTGCCATCACCTTTTGTTGGATTTAGAAAAGGAAAAAAAATAAATTAAAAAAACATGATGCAAGCTTGCTGGAAATGCTGCCAAGAGAACAGCATGTCACTGTCAATAAGGTGGCTGTTAACAAGGAGAGGAGGGGGTGACACCCACCCACCCCCCGCCCCACCACCACCCCCACACCCCCACACCCCCGTGGAGGGAATGAGCCTGTCTCAGGAGAGAGGGGTGTCACCGGAGCCCACAGGTGCTCGAGACACACCACACGCACTGGTTTGCTGAATATTCAGAATGGGTAGCTATTCATCAATCATGACATTTTCACAGGTGTCTTTATTGGCTCTCTGTGGTCAGTTACCACACACACATACATTTATATATGTATACATACAAATACCTTGTGTTTGATTAATCTAAAATATTTAAATGTTTAATATATTATTCACAGGGTATATGTTATGGACAGGTTAGCCTAAATAATGTCACATGAATAGGCAAATGAAACAAGTACAGTGAACCCACACAATGCCATATCTGACGCCATTTGGGTAACAGAGATGGACAGAGAACCTCCAAAGTCGCTCTGCATTACACAATACAGTATAAACAGTGCTGTACTGTAAGTCACGTGACAATTCTGACATGCCCATGCTCTTCGCCACCTAGTGGACTGCAAGGGTATTGCTCTGATCTCATCTTTTCCATTGCATTACAGAAGCCAGCTGCTGAACTGAAAGTAGCACTCCTGTAAGCACAGTGTAGCCTTAAATGGTGTTTGACCTTGGTGATAGAGGTGATAATTTCAAGTCATAACATTTCTGAAAGTCAGAATGCTATAACAGTTTCAATCAAATGACACTTCTACTAGTGTAATGGTGAGATTAAATAACCTATTCAATTTTAGACCTAAAATTTCCATTTGGAAATCTAGTCCACTGTAATACATCAAGATTAAAACAGGCACCAATGGGTGTAATGTAAAGTTGCATTAAACCATAACTTCCATGGATGCTTTGTCTATGAAAAGTGTGAATACTCCACAGCCTTTAACAGCCAGCAGGAGTCAAGCATTTAAAGTGTTAATGTTTTCATTGGAACAAAGGGGGAGGAGGAGAGCTCTCTAAACTGAGAGGGTCCAGCTCACACACTGCAGTTTGTTGTGTCATGTTGTGTTGTCAAGATGGCAACGGAACAGCATGTGTCAGGATGGAGGAAAACCGCAAAGAGATGATCTCACACCACCTCAGCCCAGAGTGATGGGGAAGCTCTACTGTCTGTTTCTCACACAGACACACACACACACATTACCAAGAGGAAACAGCCTAGCTTCCTTTCACAACAAACAGAGCCACTGTAAAGACACACAGTGCCAAAGCACAAATGTTTCTTTACATATTTAAAAAAGGTAGACTTGAACTTGGAGTCTTTCCTGAACAGCAAAATGGACACATTTAACTTTTGAGAACTATATTGACTATTGCTGGATCTTATTTCCACTGAAAATAGTTGTAGCATTGCTGACATATGTAGTGAGCCTACTATGTAACAGAGGTATAACCAAGTTGTGATTAACAATCAACTAATAATGGAAAACTGAGAATGATGTGGATTTTCCCTGACAATCCCCTAATAAAAGTCCAAACCATGAAACGAGCCCACTGCCAATCGAACCAAGCAGGACAAACATGGCTGCCATCTCCACACAGTGTGACTTGGTAATGCTCATAGAATGATTTGTCTGATTGGCTATGTTCCCCATCCTAGGTGTGGCTAGGGATCCTTGTGGAATTACATTACATTAATGGCATTTAGCAGACGCTTTTATCCAAAGCAACTTACAGCAATAACAGTTCAAGGTTATCCATTTATACAGCTGGATATTTACTGAGGCAATTGTGAGTTAAGTACCTTGCCCAAGGGGGCAGCAGCAGCGCCCCCGTGGGGAATCGAACAGGCAACCATACGGTTACGAGTCCTGCTCCTTAACGACTACGCTACACTGCTGCCCCAAAGCAACAAAACGCATAAAGCGTATAGATTGGCCGGGAATCAAACCCAGGTAATCTGCTCGAAAGGTAGTTATGTTTGCCACTATACCACCAAAGCTGATAACTAGCCCCTTGTGCTTTTGGTCAGGAACGCTCCAAAGTCAACTAGCTACGAGTTTTTAGAGCACTGATTTTTTGATGTGAAGTACGAGTAAGCTCCCTCTCTCTCTTTCCCATTCATAAACACACACACAGTAGAAACTAAAGGTTACTATACAGACCCATTACCCACTCAGGTAAATTCAGCACAGCAGGGCCATGCTGTGAACATCATTCTACCTAAGCATTTCCCTAAGTATCTCCATCAGACAGACACACTGTAGAAATCAAGTAAGTGAAAGCAGACTCCATTGTGTCTTTAGTATTGTAGTGACTGGGGGTAAGGCCAAACAGGCTACACATGCAGCAAGAGGCAGGATGCTGAGAGGAAGCAGTGACTTTGTGTGTAACTGTAAGAGCCCAGGAGGTAGAGGGAGGGCCAGACTTGGAAACCACACTCGCACACACTAACGTACCCCACCCCCAGAGATGGGCCACTCCCTTTCCTGGGAGGGCGGGGCCACTCACACCAAACCACTATCTGGGTGTGAGCCATGCTCATAGACTACTGGCACACACTGATTTGGTCTGGGTCTGGGTCACACCAAGACCTCTTTGTTTTAAAGCATTAGGACCTGACTTAACTGGCATCACAGACACACACAAAAAGACAGCAACGTCACAGTCATTTTTAGAATTTTTTTAATAAATAATTTCAGAAACAGTTTTTTTGCAAAAAAGTGAAAAGAATGCAGAAATAAAAAGGCACTTCAAAAAAAAAGTGTGTGTGGCGTGTGGAGCACGAGGCACTGAAGTCTAAAATACTCCCTTAACAGTGATCTTTCAAAAGAAATCACTACGACTTGCTTTCAGCTTTCACAAAAGACGAGAGGAGACAATTATCCAGACAAAGAGAGACCATGGACATGAAAGACAAACACACTTGAGAACGGAGTCTTTCAAGGTTTTGCTTACTGTGGCTGACACTACACACTTACAGTTAGCCTTTTGTCTCTCGAATAAAGCAGTTATTTTTTGGCAATGTTTAAAATGAGTATTGGGTGACCTGAGTTCTTAAAATGCAGCCCCTTGCACCAAAAAAATACAGGATTCTCCTCTTGGTTCACGTCCATTGTACTGACTAATGAGGCTAGAGAAATCTTCATCCCTTCCAATTTCCATCGATTGTTTTACTTCACGCAAAAAAATAAAAAAGAACACAAAACAAACCATTTCTTCACTTCCTGTCTCCTGTGACTTACTGCAGAAATCCATTATACAACATACTGTACACAAAACAATGTAATGCTGTACAAGGAGCTAGCTATTATCTCTAAGCACCACCTCGTTAAAAGTTCTACACCCAGGTCATGTTTTAACACTAACACTAACTTTAAAGACCAGGCGGAGAGCCGTTCTGTCCAGGCTACCTCGGTTGACTTTGCCAAAGGCGCAAAATGAACTCCAATGACCTGTTGCCAGTCCTGTGGCAATTTTTTTTCTCCAAAAGTAAAACCCAAGTTTATACATATAGTACAATTACCAAATGATGCATAGGAAAAGAAAAAAAAAAAAACTATTGTTAGTAAAAACTGAAAGTGGCCAAATGCATTGCTATTGTACTGTGACTATAAAAACAAAATGAAAAGAAAAAAAACCCCCTTCCTCTACCCACCCTCCACCCCAATCTTCCTCCCCCCTCCCTCTCCCTCGCCTTCCCCCAAACTATTTTGCATACAGTGTTGGAATGAGAGGCAAGATGCTCCATCATTTGCCCTCATATTTGGGATTGACCACAGTCGTGACAGCGCTTTTGTAGATGGGGTTTTCACCCTGGAAAAGAAACAAAATGAGAGTTAGTGGACGGCCTCGGCGTTCAGGCTTCAGTCAGTCACAGCGTTAAAACAGGACACCTCTTTTCCCCTTCCCTCAGGGAGCACAGAGCAGACTTCACATGCACAGCTGGGTTAAGTCAGTTCAGTCTGAAGGGCCGATTCACCAACACAAGCGTGCACGAGTATAAGGCACTCTGATCCAGAGCCAGTGCCCGTTTTTTTTACAGATGGCTTGTTTAGACAACCTATACTTTTTCAACAGTACAACCAATAAGACTGGCATTTTTCCCCTCATATTTCTACAAGGTACCAATGGGCATTTGAGAAGTTGGACAACTTAGGCAAGTTAACACAAAAATAGTATACAGTCATGTTGCATTGATTCCATTTTCTCATAACATTCATTCTTAATCACATTTGCTCTTGTTAGTGTTTAATATGATGAAAGCCACACCACCCTCTGTAGTGTGTGAAGAACATGACCACAACATGCAGGGTGTAAAATTCCCCCTCGGCTGCGACACTGTGTGGTAAGTGTAGGGGGTTCAGAAACCCCTCCTTAATCCTAAGTGGGGCTGATGATACCCACAACCTGACAGCTTATCCTCTCTCTAGAGGTTACTACGCAGAAAGAGCCATTACTCACACTGGTAAACTCAGTACAGCAGTGCCATGGTGTGGACATCATTCTGTCTAAGCATTTCCCTACATATTTCCTTAAAATTTATCAAGCAGACTTAACCAAAGAGATACCATGCAATACTGCAAAGGCTATTCCCTGTCAAGGTCTACTTTAAAAAGTAAAGTCAAAGAGTGATATAGACAGTGGAAGGAATGAATTCTGGAACTGTGTTGGTGTGAGAGTTATGGCAGAAATGGGGCAAACACCACAAACCAAAAACAAACCCATGCAGGAAAAAAGGAGGAAAGGAAGGCAATACAAACTTAAAGGGGCACAGCTTTACGTCCATAGTTTGGGTTCTGGAACTTATTAACGGGACTCTTGTAAATGGGGTTCTCTTGCTATAGGTAGAGAACAGGACAGAGAGCTTAGAGAGCAGTGGAAAGAAAGATGATGGACAGCAGGAAAAAGTCAACAGATTAAAAAAAGAGGACAGGATGGGGTGGTTTGGAGTGATTTTACCTTTCACATTCAACAGGGTTCAACAAAAGATCACTTCGCTACTAACTGGTGAAGTATTTAGCTATTAGGAATACCATAAAGGCATAGCATATGGTTGAACCACTACCTGAACCAGTTTAACATAGAGAAAGTTGAGCAGGAGCTGTAGTTTCATGGATCAAACCCCAAAAAGTGGGAAAAGAGTAGCAGAGGCCAGTTTCCTATTGCTGTTCTTTTGCGTGTTCTTTAAGTCATTATTTAGATTCTCTGACACCTTAAAGAAAAACAACCGGATCTTTCTGTGAACAAAGTCATAGTGATTGCTGCTCTCATTCCTCAGTGTGCAAATAGGAGGGTCCCCGACATCCGCATGCCCCGCCCAGTCTCCACGTCCCTCCACGCAGAGGGGGCTGTGAGTCATCGGGAAGCTTAATCACCCAGCCCTTCACTGCTGCTGCTCCGGACATGCCATCTCCCAGCTGCACTTCCTATTATGGACATGCACTACCGCTGTCTGGCCAGCAGGAGGCAGCAGCACACTGACACTCCAGGCGAAGGGCAGGGCACTCCCAGAAAATGAGGATGTGCAACCAGGGTCCTCCTGAAGCTCCATGACCTAAACACTGCCTTTATTTGTCACTGTTGTCATTGGTAACCTGCTGTCAGGGCTGGATTGCAGGGGTGAGGCTGAGTTTTAATAGATCCATATGGGGATCCTGGGCGGAGAGGGCCGGCTGAATCTCGCACGCACTGACGTGAGGACAGCTTTAAAGGCCGAGTGGCCCAGCTCATACAGGTCAAATTACAAAACCTCACTGATCTGGGAACACGTCACGTTTTTCTCGCAAACATCGATATACAGCTCAGCTTTCCTTGCGCATTTCATGACCTCACAGGATCAAAACCGCTACAGACGCAGCACACAAGAAGATATCAGTATGCTTTCGCTGTAACCCTATATCCAGAGGGACAGGGTTCTCGGCGACGGCGCATTTCGACTCCGCGGCCTGGCTTACCGTGTCCCACTTGGCGTTCATCTTCTCCTTCTCGAACTTGGCGAACTCCCTCCTGTCGTGGATGATCATCAGCAGCTTCCAGATGAGCAGGAGCGCCAGGCCGATGAGGACGATCCCCGCCACCACGCCCGCCACGATGGGGATGATGTCAGGGCCCGTGGAGCACTCTGTCAGCCGGGCAGACGCACAGAGCAAGGCATCAGGGGACACGCGACCAAAACCCACACACTGAGCTGCGGCGGAATGACTAAAGTGGGCGTCTGCTCGGGAAAAAAGCAGAACTGCTCGCTGCCCGCCAGTGCATACGGAAACAGTTTAAACCTCGGGCGTGGGAGTGAGTTGCAGGGAGTTTCATCTGCAGTGAGTAACTGCAACGGTGTAATGGTGCCGTTTGGGAGAACACTTTAAACAATTTAAAATTCCAGAACTTTATGAGAACATATTTGAGCTGGCTGATCAGATGATGAATGAGATAATATCGTATGTAATAAAAACAGGCATTTGTTTTTCCATTTTTGCCAGCAGGTTGCCCATTCTTTTTTGATAACACCCACTCTCAATATTTCAACTTTCTGCACCTACCCTGTGCCCTCTGGGCCAACGTCCAGCTTTAGCCTGCTCTCTGTAGACAATAATTTAAACTGCATAATTCCACAAGGCTACTTGTTAGCGCTATTCCTATTCAGGCTTGCTAAAACACGCAAGCCCCACGGACTTTTCCCTCCCGGAAGGGCCCACCCACCGAGCTTCTCCACCACGTGGACCTCCTTCTCGGTGTCGTTGTTGACGGCGTAGGTGTAGTAGAACCAGCAGTCGTTGTTGGCGTCGCGCTCCTTGCAGTGCATGACGGGGAAGGACTGCACGGGCTGCGGCAGCTTGCTCTGGTCCGACACCTTGATGATCTTGAAGTCGCTGCACTCCTCCTCGCAGGTGTCCTTCTTCAGGCCCGTGCCGAAGGCCAGGCACTCCACGCAGTCCCTGCGGGGGGGGAGAGAGAGGGTGTCCAGGTGGGACAGAAGCGCTAACAGCTCCATCGTAACGTAAC